GAGTTTTTGAAGAAATTTTTAAGTACTCTGTTAGACTTGATAAGACAAAATTTATTTTGTAAAATTAAGATGAGTTTGATATATACTTTGGAGGAAAAACAGAAAAAGACAGAAGTTTTTCCATAAATAGAGCTAAAATTCAAAAAGTACTAGCCAGGAGAATTTAGGATTTCTCTGAAAAAATAAAAGTTCATTACAACACAATAGTCCTTAATGTCGATGTAGAGAGCTAGACATTTTAAGTTATTTATTAAGAGGGTATTACGGAATAAAAGGGCGATTATGAATAGATTTTTGCTGCAGATGGAACATTTTCAGTCGTGAAGCAAGCATTTATTTAATAACCGGGTTTTAGTTATTCACTCTAATATAGTGGCTATGGCTACACTGAATTACAAATTCCAGCCATGATTGATGAAAATGGTAGGCGTAAATTTAGAGTTTAAGAGAATACATTCTTCCACTGGCCTATAAAAGGTCTAGATATTAACATGTGGGGTATGCCTAACTATGAAGGAGATATAAATATAGGTTTATATCTAAAAGTTAAAGGTGAGAATTCTTTTGAATACTTTAAGCAAGACTATAAATTATTCGAGGAATTCATGCATAAAAATTATCCAGACACTATTTACTTAATGCCTAATATGAAGGAATTTTATGATAACTCATAAATTACTAGATTGCTTAATATGAAATGTTCTCCTTGGAATTTTGGAAATTTATAGTTAATAGGAGATTCTGCACATTCCATGAATCCTTTTAGTGGATAAGGATTTAATGGTGGAATGGAAGAATGTGTGCTTATTGCTGATTTATTAGAAAAATTTAAAGGAAATTGGAGTAAAATTAATCCAGAGTTTTTTTAATTAAGAAAAGATGTGACCGACAAAATGAATGATTTTCCTGATACATAATTTTCATTTTTTAAGGATAAATTCTATGATAGATATAGTCAAGTAGGAATTATGATCACTGATTACCTATGTAGATTATATGGAGATATATTTGATTCCTAAATATAGCTGATAAGGTGGACTACAACTGACTATAATATTTGCCTAGGAAGAGGCTAGGTGCAAGCTCATCTTATAAATGAACTGAGATAAAAAGTTCCCGATATCTTAAACTTGATTAAAGCTAACAAATTAGATTAACGAGTTTATGATATTGTGTCTTAATACAAGGGAGTGCATAATTTAGAGGAATTTTTGCGTGAAAAAAGTAATAAAGATCAGAAAGAGAGTAGTAAATATACTTTTGAAAATCTCTTTGAGAAGTATATGCATGGGTACTAGAAAAATTAACCTAAACTTTGAGAATAAATAACAAAATAAAATACCAATATTTATTTTAAATCTTTGGAGTTGGGGTTTTGGGGTTTTGGGG